CCTATACAAACTGTTGCACCATTAGACATACAACGATCAGCAAGTGTACCAAATCGTCAATTTATTATTATTCTTACTAACAACCCTGAACTCTTACGACAAACCCGTCGATTTCAACCTCAAGTATGTAATATAAAAATTATGGATATGATTTTTTTTCAAAAAATACTTGTAGTGAAAGAATGAATATACTTTATAATTTCATACTTTTCTTTCTTTTTAGATACAACGAGATACACAAAGACAAGCAAATGCTGCATCGAATAGCAGATCAACAAATGGAGCAACAAATAACAACAACAGCAATAACAATAATCGTGAACAACTACTGGAAAATTTATTACGAGTAGAATTAAGAGACGCCGCCAGTGGTTATCTTACGCGTACTCGACGATCATTTCCACTAAATTATTTATTTGATATGTCTGATATTGATACAAACGAGCAACGATAGTAACTATATCGAACTTTATTTAAATTTGTTTTGTATTTTTTTTTCATGTTTCATTGTTTTCACAACATAGATGAAATCATTTTCCGAAAAATATATACTTATTTTTGAAATTATTTGTTATAGATTTATAAGAATTTAACATGGCTTCATCTTCGAATAGAGGACGAATACAAATGCATTCAACTACTGTTTCTGAAAATCAATATTTTCTTATTACTATCACAAATTATCCAAATCTTTTGAATCGTACACAATCCTACCAACAACAACCGAATAATGTAATAGAACATATAAATTTATTGATAGTTTCTTATCTTGTATTTTAGGAATTGCAACAACGACTTCGAGTTGGAATGCTATCTCCCAATACAGCTATCCATTTTGGTATCGCGCATACAGAAGAACATGAAATATTATTATACAATACACTACGATTTGAATTAGAAGAATGTATTCGAGCATATCTTCAACGAACTCAACGATTATATCCAATTAACTTGGTTTTTAACTTATCCAATCTCTAACAGCAGCGTAAATACATCGAATCATTTCAAAGTTCGATATGTTTCTTTTTTTTTTTCTTGTTATTTTTCTTGACATATAAGTGGTTTTTTTTTTACTTTTTAAGGTCTATCAACTTGTGAAAGATTATATTATACAGTTGAAATAGAATTTCATAGTTGAAGAAGTTCATTCCCTAGTATTTCGGGATTAGTCACTATATTTTGTGTTATCTATTTTTCTAGATTATTTTATTAAACTCTCAAACATCTTGCATCGATGGACTTGAACTCAAAAGATTTGAATACCATTCTTATGAACTTAATCACAAAACAGCCGACACAGGATGTCAAGGACAATGATATATGTAAAGAAGAACCAATGGAGATATCGTATTTAAAGGAAGATGAAAAACCTACGAAAACCTCACCGACAACTTATATAGCCGACCTTCAACGTCGACAATATTGTTTTATTATTTTCAATAATCCTAAATGGTCTCAAATTGTGAAAAGTAAATCTTCAAACGTATCAAAACAAGTAACGACTGTGTCTTTTCATATTTTTTATAAACATTGATTTCACTATCCTCTATCTTAGAATGACCAACAACAAGAACAAAACACTGCACAACAACCAGGATTACAGGCAACATTTGATTGGCCTATGCAATTGTTAGTCAAAAATGAAACGTATGATACATCGCTGGATGAACAATTCGTCTGTAAATTACGACAACTCATTCATGAATATATGCAACATACAACACGACCCTTACCACTCAAATATTTTCTTGATCTTACTGAAGAATAAAACTTTAGTGTTATCAGTGCACTTGTATAGTAGAACTTTTTTTTCAACTTTTTTTTCTCTATTACACTCTGAAAGGTAGAAAAATTTAGTATGTAGTTTCTTTTTTTTTTTTTGTTTTTGAAAACAGTTTCATATATAACCATGTATATAGAAATAACTTTGCAGCATTACACTGGATTTATATTTTCATTTGCCTTTCTTCTCTATTTCAGATTAACCATATAATTTTTTTTCTGTCTTTATCTATCGATGGCTGCTTCAAATCGACCATCAACCAAAACAATCACACAAGTATCGACGAATAGCACACGGTACAATGATATGTTTGATACTATCGATGATACAAATGATGGCTTACAATTTTCATTGGATACATTAAATCAATACTTTCTATCTGGTCAAATGCCAACATTGATATACCAAGAAGAAAAGATCGAGAATGATATTCTTCAAGATCCTTATGCTGTTGAAGTAAGACCACCCTATTTTACCTGATGTTCAAAGCGATTAATGTTTTCCTTTCTTATTATCTTAGATCATGGATGACCGGCAAAACGAACCAGATGAAGAAACTTTCATATCACAAAAATTAAGTCAATTATCTACAACACATAACATGGAAATTGACCCATCAACAATGTTGGAGAAAAAACGACGTTGTAGCGCCACCACAAGTCCATCTGTTACTACAAAGAAAATGAAAAAACATGATAATGATAGTGATGATGACAACGACTTGAATGAAACTGATACAAAAAAAGATCCAATTCCAAACTATTTATCAATGCATCAAAAGGCTTTTGTATCTATGGCTCAAAGTATTATAAAAGATGTTCAATCCATAACTATTAATGATATACAACAATTGGCTTTTTTCATTCACCAAATGCATGCTCTTCGTATCAAGAAACAGATAACAACTGTTTATTTACAATCAGTTACAGGCACATTGCCACAACCCGAATGTGACTTAATTACAGTTGATCGACGTGTTATCCCAATGCAAGTCAAATCATTTTTGTTAAGCGAAGAATCATTGTCAACAGTAGCGACAGCAGCCGCAGCAGCAGCAGCAGCACCACCACCACCACCACCACCACCAACAACAACAACAATGGACGTATATCAACCTGATCAAGAAAGTGTTTGTGAGAAGCGACTTAATGAACGTATACAAGAACTATGTGAAGAAATTCAATATTATGAACAACAAATGATAGAAAAGCAAAATAGTTTAACTGGATTTACATTAGGTATGAATGAAATTATTCAAATATTTATCCAAGAATATGGAATTAAGCCACTTGAATTGAAATATCAATTAAAAAAAACTCTAATTACATATGATTATGAATTAGAAATACTTGAACGAAAATACATACAGGAAAAGCCAAATGAATATCAAGTAAAAATAATGTTCTGTTAAAAGCGTCAGTTATGAGTTTGTTTATTTTTTCTTTGTGTTTCGTATCATTTAGATCCAAATTGCTAAACGTCTGTCAAACACGAAACGCGATGTCGAAAAATCGAAACGAGCATTACTAGAATTAAAACAAGGTGTCTTCTTCAATAAATCGTCTATCTCATTCGATTCGATTCCTGCATTGATGACAACTTCAAATGATACCAGTTTGAACAATGAAAAATCAAGACAACAATTATTTAATAAATATGAAAATGAACTCCGTTGTAGAAAACTTGATTTATTATCAAGACAAGTACCACAAGCCGAACAAACCTATTATCGTTTGCAAGAAAAATTCGATTATGAATTATCTTCCATGTGGAAAAACCATCGTAATCTTGTTAAAGATCAAGGAATGATGACATCATTGATTAATTTACTCGAACAACGTCTCAATAATCTTACCAATAGATGGCGAGATATTTATAATTATAGAGTCGATTATTTTCTTCAAAATGCTTATGATGAATTAGATCATATGAATAATGATGAAATTTCGGAATATGTGAAAATTATGGGTCCTTCATCCTCAATCATTATCCATGCAACACATAAATTAAATCAGAAACAACTACAATTATTAAGTCGTGGACCAAGTTACGTATCTCCCTGTTTAATGTATACTTCATTATCCAATGAATCTATGGATGAAATTGTGAAGAAACAATTTGTACCGTTAAAACATCAAATCAATAATCTTTTTTTAAAAAACAAAATTAATTTAAATTTACAGATGGAAATTCAAAAGAAAATCTATGATCTATTTAAAAATTTATTTTCAAAATCAATACCATCAAATCTCTATCAACGTGCAATCTATGAAACGAATTTAATTCAATCGATTCAAACTTCTCTCAAGAAAAATAATCTTATTTTACGAAGAACTGCTGATAATATGAATATATTCTATTTGGGAAATCTTCAAGAATTCGAAACAAAAGCTGATCAATATTTAGCAAGATCCGAAGATTATGATATTGTCTTTAATGTCAATGATGTTAATAATGAAAAACCATTGAATGTGGCATTAAACGAAATGATTGAATCAATGAATAGTTTATTACAACAATTAAAAATACATAGAGCAATTAGTCAAGATTTATATGAACGATTCATTGCTGATCCAAATAAAGTCAAACTACCATATTTGTATTTTCTACCGGCTATATCCAATGTAAATATAAATAAATCATTTTTTTTGTTAACATATATAAATGTTTTGTTTGTTGTTACCCTAGGAAAAATGTATGTCTTTGGTACCGATTGTGACAGGTCAATATAGTGCGACATGGAAAATTGCCAAGTATTTGAATCAATTATTACGACCATTTGCCGATGGAATCTTACGGTCAACTACATTTGCTGAAGAAACTGATTTTATTCAACAATTAAATCGTTATGCTACTACAGAACGCCGTCTTCGGCCAACAACTCTATTCTGTTCCATCAAAATAACTAACTTTTATACATTAGATGAACACCAAAATATGATTGATACTGTTGGTTATTTTTTACAAGACCATTTAGTGAACAACAAGCTTGAATCACTCACTGTTCAAACTATTCGAAATCTACTACATTTATTTCTTTATAATAATATTTTTTCTTACAAAGATGGCATCTTTAAATTTACCAGAGGTAGTCCAAATACAGTACCGTTAACGGAAACATTATCCAATATTTATTTATTTGTATGGCAAAAGAAACTATTGAAAGAAGTTAATCAAAACATTGAATTGTTTGGAAGGTACATATATATATTTGTTTTGAATCTTTTTTTTTAATTCATTTGTATATTCTAGATATAAAGATGAAATATTCTTTACATGGAATAAATCAACTGCTTTAGAATTGGAAACATTCATCGAAGATATTCGAGAAAAAAATCGAAATGTTCGTTTTCAAAAAATAATTGGTACAAGTGTTTCCTTTCTTAATGCTTATATAGAAAATCGCCAAGGTCAATTATATACTCGACTACATTATGATACCAATATGCCACGGTATACATTACCATACGTGACAGGTCATTCAAAATCATCCTATAGTAATTGGCTTTTTCATGCACTTATTCGTGCTGTCTGTTATTGTACATTAGTTGATGATTTTCAACAAGCAAGGATTTATCTTGAATTAACTTATCTTATTAATGGTTATTCAGTATTATTTGTTGAAACTCATGTTAAACGTTTCTTCAATTATTTTAATTCTCAAACAATGCGGTATTCATATAATCAAAACATCTACGATAAGTTTCGTCAAGAATGGTTTAAATTTGTTCAACAACGAGATGAACTTTCAGAAGAACTTCAAAAATTAGATGATACTAATTGTTTATTTCAATTCCATTACATCTATGATTTTGGTCCTAAATGTCGTTTTAATCGAGAATTTCATCAACTTTGGCGTCAATATTTTCAACAACATCCAACTTTATCAGAAGAAAAGTGCAAAATTATTCTTAATGTCAAAAATTTTCATTCGTTGAATACTTTATTAGGGATGGATAAACCGTCGTTTAGTCTTTGACAATAAGATTTTCTTTTTTTTTTTATATGTAGCAGACTATGATAGTGTATCGTCGTCATAACACGATATTTTTTTTGTTATTTGTTTTCTTTTTCAACTCATATATATTTACTATACATTTCTTGTTTTTGTTACTTATGTTTTTTGTTTTGGATTTTGGTTTTGAAATTCAACATCTCATGAAGCTTCTTTTGTTTTAGATTAAGTTTAATTCAAAGATATGATCATTTGAATCCATCGGCTTTCAATTTGAAATTACATTTGGTTGTCCTCAGCTAAACATATCAACTGCTTACAAAAATATGGGCAAATGAAAGCTGTGATTTCTTTTGGAATATAAAAATGTATCATAACCTTAATGAAAACACATTAAAGTAATTGAAAAAAATATAGTCATTCTGGTTTTAGATTTTTTTCTTAATATATTCTAGATTGCAAGACGTACCTGTCACACCGTTCTATATGCTATTTTTTCTTTTCTACCTCCTATTATCTGTTTTTTTTTCTATAAAATTCTACTTGTATATTTATTTCTACGAAGAAATTTATCAAGCATTAGTATGAATTAAAAACTATATAACGCTTCCAATTCTTACAAATTTAAATGCAATAATACAATTTATTCCACAATGAAATATAATCTTCTGTTTGTATTCAAGTTTTTTCTAGAAATATTCTTTCAGCATTTAATCTGAATTAAAACTATGTCCGGTCATTCACAAGAACAACATCCAGAAGTAGAACTTTCACAAGGTACTGAATTTATACTGATCGGGATTGAATGCATTCACGATTTATGATCTTCTTTAGAAATCCATTTTCAAACAAGTAACGGCGATATTCCACAACAACAATCATGGTCACAAGTGAGCAACATATTTATTATTTATTTCAAATATCTGCGTTTGTTTTTTTTTTCTCACAAAAGTCATCTGTACAATCAACTCAATCAAATAGTTCTTCGTCTATCGATAGCCAAACGAATGAGCGCTATTTAAGTCAACAAATTCGTACCACACAAGTGACTGTCAATTTGATTGATTGCATGGAATGTTATGTACGAATTCCACGTTGCACGGTAATGATTTTTACTACCCAAAATATAACAATAAAAAAAGAATATACTCGCGTTTTGAAATATATCACTTTTAGTTTGGACAAGCAGAGGCTGATTTTACTGCAAACCGAAAGACAGATATGGCTCGAGAAGTAGAAGAATATCGACAAGAACAAGAAAAAGCATCACAAAAACAAGTTAATCAAGTACAATCTCAAGCTGTTCAAGAAAAAAAAGATGCAATAACCGATGATTCCATTCGTAATTCAAATGATGAAAATGAAATGACTAGTCTTTTGATTGTTGATTTACCATGGTCACAAACTTCACAACATAATGCAGCTAATGATGACTAGCACTGTAACATTTGGTTCTTTATTGTTACAAAACATACCCTTTTTCTTCAAATGAACTCATGTACAATTGTGTCGAACTTCACACAAACAAAAAAGTTTTCTTTCTGTTATTTTTTGTTTCTTTGGTTATTGTAATTTTTTTTTCATGCAAATATATATATATTCAGTCTGTGTCAAACTTATTATAGTATGATATTCTGTTTGAAAATGTATATAGTGTGATATGATTAAACATATATCAAGTTGTCCTTATCATGTATATTATATTATTTCTTTCTTTATTTTTACTGAAATTCATACAACTAATGAAAGATATATATATATATCTCTATGAATAAAATTGATATTAGAAAAAAATATATAGTATATACATAACAATATTCTATTTTAAACATATATAACAATAATTTAATTTAAATGGACATAAGAATAATTTAATTTAAATATACATAACAATATTTTTAATATAAATATAAATAACGATAATTTCATTTAAATAGACAGAACAAAAATTTAATTTAAATATTCATCACAATATATTTCATTTAAATACAAATAACAATAATTTAATATAAATAGACATAACAATAATTTATTTTAAATATACATAACAATATTTTTCAGTTAAATACAAATAAAAATATTTTTCATTTAAACATATAGATAAAAATAATTTAATTTAAATATACATAACAATATTTTTAATTTAAATATACAGTAGACGGGAAACCGTTAGAAACGGAAAGGAAAAAAAACAGATACGTTCACCCTGGATTAGTAATCACAGTTCATGTAACGGTCACTACGTCTGGAGAGAAAGGAAAAACGTTAACCTCGATATATGAAAAGTTTACTATTCGGAATACTTTATAGATAATATGAAAGTAAAAATAAAATATATATGTACATAACTTTGAATTTGCTTGCTTCTCTCGTTAAAGTATATATTTATATAAAAAATATTAGTCAGTATCATACAATGGAATACGATGAAAATTTAAAGGAAATATTGCATGAAGTATTGTTGGACAAGGGTTTAATTGAAGAACATATTAAGTTCCTGTTGCGCAATCATGACACTACTGAATATGAATTTATTCAATTTTTCAAAGATCATATTAATTGTTTAAATATTGCCGAAAATGTATCTGAATTTCTACATAGTATTTTTAATAATTTAAGTACAAACCATTCACTTATGGATGTCAATAGTCATCTCGAATATGATCATGACATGATTTACGATAATGATGGAGATCTATATGTAGACTATTTGATTGACGATTTGAATATCGCCGAGAATGACAATGATGTGGATGATGATTATGAAGAATAGGAACATAATGCTAGTATAAATATGGCTCATTTTTTTTCTTTTTGTTTTGTTTGTTATATACTACTTATTTTTGAATATAAATAAAATTAAACTATACTGGTTTTTCCATTATTAGAAAGATAAGAACACATCTAGTGATTCACTTGTCTCATAATCTTCTTTTTAACCAAATAATGATCATTTATCAAGCAATGATGTCAGACATTGTGGTTAGAAAATCTCTTTGGAATATTAAAATCTAGTGACTTATAATAGTTTCAGGAAAAAAAAATCAAAAAAATACAAGTTAACAAAACTGTTACACTTGCTATTAAAAAGATTACAAATTTGTTACACAGTCGTGTATTTTGAAAAAAAGCATGAAATTATTATCAGAGGTATTTTCGAAATAAATTAGCGAAGAGACATATAATTTTCAAGAAAAAGAAGCACTTGTGCATTGTTTTATAAATGTTTAAAAGAATTGATAAACACTAGGAGAATATTTGTAATTTATTTCGAGATATTTTCAAGAAGTTTAGACGTTTTAATTTGAAAAATAAACCGTTAAATTCTAGGGAATGTACTGTTCGAAAAGGAATTAGTCGATGTCTAGACAGTGACCGTTCCTCTTAACTCTTATATGTCCTATGTCCTCGTCCAGGGTATGACGTTCATTTCCACGTGGTCTGTCCTTCTATGCTAGGGTAGAACATTCCTTCGTTTCTAATTACCGCTTTTCTTTTCTTTTACTATATTCATTTCGTTGATTAACATATTAAAGATTACTTCGTTTTTTTTCCTAATATAACAAACAGTAACAAGCACAATATCAAGTGAACATAATTGTCTATATAAGGTGTGTGACTATTATGCTTTGAATTTGTTTACTCAGCTACAATTTTCTTTAATTAAAAATTTTCATATATCGATCACATATATATTTAATTACAATATAATAATCTAACTTCAAGATAATCTTTATTCTAAAAAGATTTGTTTCAAAAAAAAATAAATTCAATGTTCTATACTTCTTAATATATCATTCATACTTTATGAGAATAAATATATGAATTTCTTTTTCAATTGTAATAAATTTCTATGCTATAACAGGTAAAATATGAGTGGTACAATGCAAACAAAGTTATTCAAAACTGTCTGTAAACGTGCTGCATTAATGCGTGCTCCCTATCGACAATCCTCATGGACAAATAATATCAGTCCAACAAAAAAGAAGTTGTCATCACAAAGTAAAATAAAAAGCAATGTTCGAACAAAATCCATGGAATCAAATAATAATAATAAAAAATTAATAAATAAAAAAGTATGCTTGCCACGCAAATATGTTTTTTCATGTCAACCCTTTTTTTAATCGAACTATTCTATCTCTTTATAAAATTAGGCACATATCGATAACAAAGATTCAAAACATGATTTAGGTGAAGAAACAAATAAGAATAATAATTTAAAGTAAAAAAGAAAAATTGTATATATTTAAAGTAGATATAGATTATTTTTGAAACTTGTGAATACAAAATATGAAAATATTTTTGTTATTTTTCTTTTTTGTTATATAAACATGCAACACTAGTTATATGTATGGTTACATTGTAATATGAAACTGATGTTTAGTAAATACATTATTAGTGTTAATCAATTTTGATAAGTTGAGAATTACATTCTTCTATTCATAAGTTCCGTATTGTCGTTGTCTTGGTACTATGCTTTTCATTTACTTTTACAGACTTGCATTACTTCAAATATTATTACTTAAATTTACGATAGACATGTATTGTGATTCAATTAAGTTTCATAAAGAGTATAATACTAGAGTTGATACAATGAAAGTTCCACATTTCAATGTCAATTATTAAAGTCTACAATTATATTTCAAGAAAAATTTAATTGAATAAAGACCATACATAATGAATCTATTTTTTGGTATTTTAGATATATATTTAAACACAAAAAAATATTACTAGTTCTACTTGTAAACACCACTATGACATCTACACCATTACATCAACATGTAGTGAGAAAAGAAAACATAATAAATAAACACAAAAAAAAAAAAAGACTTCAATTTCAATGTTTTCTCTTTTCTAGAATAACAGTAATAACAAGAATAGTCTTTATATCAAATTAATTCAGCTACTTGATGTCAATGAAAATGGAAGAGTAAAATAGAAAACTTAATTTTTTTTTAAAGTTATTTATATATTATTAAATTTAGCTTGTTTTGCCGTTTTCTCGTCGATTGATTCTAATTGATCGTCCATTTGAAAAAACAAATCAAAAGTACATTGTTTTATAAATAAACGTTATTTATATAATATTAATTTTATATGTTTTTTTTCTTTTCACAGTGCTGTGCACATAGACAAAAATATATATGGTGATTATCAAAGTCAACAATCTGAACTTTCATCATCAACATCACAATACTATTTATCCAGTGATGATGAACATAATTCTGAACACAATAATTCATATGTATCAATATCATCACCACCATCACCATTTCTTTGTGATCCTTATGAGTCGTATGATTGGGAGTGTTAAAAAACAATAAAAAAACTTTATTTTTTTTTCTATATCTTTTTTCCTTTTTTGTTATTGTTTCATTTGTTTTTCTTCAATAAAACTTAGACATATATCACATTTGTGTAATAGAATATCAGAAAGTGATCTAGAAAGTTACTGCTTCCTTGAAACATATTTTAAAATTTTCATTCTTTCAAAATAAATACAACTGAAGTTTCCTAATTGTTGGACTCAATTATATCATAAATCAAAACGTTGAATTATAGTCACAATATAAAAAAAAGAATTTCAGTAACGTGCAACATTGCACAACATGATAGAAGTTTATTGTAAAATAATTCAAAGAAAAACATAATAGGATCAAAACATCAGTTTTGCTACAAAAAACGAAATGATTTACACATACTACAAGAATCATATAAGTAATAAAAAAGATTTGAAAATTTTGATTCAAATAGTGCAAAAAATATTGAAAAGACACGAAGAATGTTGCTGTACATTTCAATAAATTTATGGAGAAGTCTTAAAGATATATGAAGAATTTGTTTTTTGAATATATAGGAATAAATTTCAAAGAAAAAGTTATGTTTCAAATTGAAATATTCCGATATCTTTCTATGATGAATTCATAAAACAGCTTTGAAAATTGTTTTTATGAAATGTTTGATAAAGAACTTCACATACTGTTAAATTAATTCACGATCAATTTCCAAAAGAAACCTAGTGAATTGTGATTAGAGTATCGAAAATAAAATTATAATTGTGTTCACGGGACAGTGTATATTAGTTTCGTCATATGTAACTCTACCATGTGTTAAAAAATATTAGATATTAAAATTGGGTGTACAAACTTATAGTACATAAAAAAAGGATTAAAATAAAAAAATTAAAAAAATTATAGAAATACTTTTATGTGAGAAAAAAAATATCAGGTTTTATTTTTGTAATGCATTTTTACCTAAATTCAAAGAGTTTTTATTAAAATTTTAAACAAAATATTCTAAAAAATATTTCAAAAAAAGAAAGATTGTATTCACAACTGTTTTTCGAAATACGCTGTGGTCTGTCCTTAGACTATTAAGTGTTCAACTATGACCTGGTCTGTCCTTAGACTATTCACAGTTCAACTATGACGTGGTCTGTCCTTAGACTATTCACAGTTCAACTATGACGTGGTCTGTCCTTAGACTATTCACAGTTCAACTATGACGTGGTCTGTCCTTAGACTATTAAGTGTTCAACTATGACGTGGTCTGTCCATATCATGTTGTCTCTTGTATTATGCCGTGGTGTGTCTTTTTCTTTCGGTGTCGTCTCTCTTTATGCTGTTGTCTGTCCTAGGAGAGATCACTGTATATCGCCTTGCCTATAAATAGGCTGAAATTTCTCATAATGAATTCATTCGAAGATATACGCAACAGCAACAACATCGACCATTCTACTGTTGTTTTCACTCCGTCGAGCAACTGCATCCACTCTCAACTTTCATCATCAGGTATGTTAATATATTACTTAGGTTCTTTTTTCGGCTTCATTGGAATATTTTCTTACTGATATTATCAAACCAACAACACAAAACTATCCTTGAACTATAGAAACAACTAAAGAGCTGATCTTTTTTCAGATTAATATGTATTTTTCTTTGTATGTATGCATCATATATGAAACTCGATTCTCTTTTTTTAGATATATTGACTCTAGTCTTATATGAATTTAATGATGAATTACAATCAACATGTACCAAAAACGGCTGAACATCGTGTTCTACAAGATCCCTTATTGATCAAGAAGAAAAAAAAGTGTCTTGGAAATCGAAAATTACACAATTTTACACGCAAGTGTCGAGCAAAAGGAATGAATGATCAAGCAATTGAAATGTTACTGTTGCTTAAAAAAGCAAATGGATCGGTTCATTCAAATCTTCAAAATACATATGAAAATCCAAACAGTGCCTCTCCTTTAATAAATACGATCAGTAACGTCATGAACATGTCAACATTTATCGGAAATCAAGTATGATCAGAATTAAGGAATTGTTATAGTAATGCTTTTTTTTTGTTCCTTATAGTATTGTACAAATGAATATCAACATAGTGATGGAAATCTAGAACTTGATTCAACAATTGAATCTTTTTTATATTCACAATCAACAGCAAAAGGTAAATGGTCTTCACCGTCAACTACAAGATTTCCAAAGAGACGCCAACGTTACAATTTGTGTAATGATCATTGGAAACAAATGTCAAAACTCATACCAAATTATAAAAAATTATCACCTTATCAATTCAAAGATGCGCTAATGAAGGTCATTCCTGCTTCTTCTCAACATCATATTAAAGAATATTACATAAATGTGGCAATGTTACAATTCGTTCAACAACGTACTGAAATAATCTGTCATATTTTGCAATTAAAAATTGAACAAGATTATTGGAATAATATTGATAATTTAATAACTATGCCTGTTGTGATTTGGTTATCAGAAGTTGGGAAAGATGTTACGAAAAAAAATTCTATCAATTGGGATCATACAAAAACAAAGTTTAATATTCAACATCGACAAACAATTATACAAAATAGACTACAAGAAGCTGAAAATAGTTTAAACTTTCATCTACAACAATCATATCCACTCGATTGTGAATTAAACAATAAGACTGCTTTAGTTAGTTTTTTGAATGTTATCTCTAATGGTGTTGTTACTCTGGCAGAAAATAGCTTATATTATTTCCGTACCAACTTTGAACAGAAAAAAATCTTATTAAACTTTGATATTACTGATGCATGTCTGGTCAAATCATTCTACGATTTAAATCCTACACAAGAACAGGTTTTTTATTTTTTATTCTGCAACTTTAATTTAATTTTTTTTCTATTCTAGATTTCTAATGCACAAAAGATTTGGCGAGTGAAAGTTAAATCTTGCAAAAAAACAATTCGTCTCAAAAAGAAGTATCATTCAACATCAATCATGCATGTTATTTCAATGGTAGAAATCGATCACAATGAACAAAAAACTTTACTTTCCATGGAATCATTTAGTTCTTCGATGAAAAAAATTATTGAAACTCGTCTCACAAATATTGAAGAACGTACACAACAATTGATGAAATTTATTCATACTATCGATGACAATGTCTTCTTCTAAGTGTATCTAATTGTTTCTATTCTTATGTAGTTTATTTTCATCAAGACTATCTCCTATATTTGTACCTAAACAAATCGTTCGATTTTTCATTCAACTTTTGTGTTAGGTCACAAGCTATAGACTTATATATATATGTATAAATAGTTGTTTTTTTTCAGATATCATTTACTATAATCATTCTCAATTGCAAACGAATACTATACCGTTACTATGAATAGTTACTTGGACAATAATTCTATAACAGAAGATGACAATTTATTGATAAAAGAAAATCAACAAGAAGTTCAAATCAAATATCAACTGAAAGTATGATCTATTTTTTTTATCATAATTACGTTTCGTACTAATTTTTCATTTTTTCTTTATTTTTATTTAGCCATTAGAAGAACAAAATTTATCACAAAGATTAAATGAATTATCAATGACTTCTCGTCACACACCTGAACATCTGATTATGGTCGATGAAGATCATGCGGAAAATATTCCATATTATCTATCAAAAGAAAGTAAATCTTTCCAAGAAATAACCAGCCATTTATCACCAAATGAATTAATCGAAGAATTACGACAAATGGCTATTGTGATACATCAACTTTTTATGATCGATTTGGAAAAATCACTTTGGACAACTTATTTGAAGTCAGGTACAGGCCAACTCCAATTAAATCACATGGATAATGATAATATTATTCATCCACACCTTTGGTCTGTTCAAGTGCAAAAACTTGTTAGTAAACAATCACTTGATAACACTGATACTGCGACATGTTTAACTTACGTCACACAACATCTTGATGAATTAGATGATAAAATGAAACAATATCAAACTAAATATAATATGAAGAAAAATCAATATTTAAATTATCTATCAAAAATTCAAACATTTGTTCACCAACAACTTGAATCTGCTCGTTTGACAACGGAACAACAAATCGCACTTGTTCGCTATAATTACAATGATCATGTCTTCAAATTAAAATTTAGAACATTCAATCCAACTCGAGAGCAGGTAATCACAATTCTCTTTTTTTTTTGTATTTGAAATGCATATGTATATACTTATTCTTTATCAATCTTTTAAGAAACAAGTTGTTCAAAAATTAGATGAAGCAAAATATCACCAAGAAACGACGAAAGCGGAATATAATTTATTGACATATCGAATTTCCATGGAAAAATCATCGCGAATATCTATTGATTTACCTGAAGAAAAATTTTTGAAAACCATCGAAGATGGATCTATTCGACAAAAACTCCATGATCAATATGTGAACATAGCAAAACAGGCAAGAAAAGATATCCTAAAATTATGTCTCTCTACGGCTCAAATTCAAAAAGATCAATCTACAGAAGAATTCAATACTAAATTAGAACAATTTAAACTTAAACAACAATCATTACTAAATCATAAAAAATTCACTAGCAACATGATAAATTTAATGGAAGAACATTGGAAACAGATCAGTGAAAGTGTTGAATGTGTCTATAAATATAAACTTGATTTGTTACGTTTAAATTCTGTTCATAATTAATTTAATAAAAAGTGTTTATTTTTGTTATTGATATAACTTTTCTGTATAATTTTTGTGTTATTTTTGTCTTTCAGATATTCATATCATTCGAACACCAATTCGAAACATTTATACAATGGAAACTTCAAATTTAAATGTTATACCAAATGTACAACAACATTCAGGTCAATTACATTCGAATTCTCAAACTCGAACTACAGCACAGGAACAGCATCCAGTATCGTCCAAGAAAAATAGAAAACGAAGAAAAAAATGTCATGGCAATCGGAAATTACAAAGATTTAGAAAGAAATGTCGTAAACGTGGTCTTACAAAAGAAGAAACACAAAGATTAATTAATGAATATGCACATAATAATCAAGATCAAAATAAAAGTAATCATCAACAAAAAAAAGTAAATGGTTCACACATTGAAAACATGGAAATAAGCACCAATTTAAATGATACTATCAATGAAATTGAAACGAACCAAACAAAATCAAAAAAACGTAAACATCAAATGTCACAATCATCAAGTCAACGATCAACTTCACATGAATTAGTAAAAAGAATAAAACGACATAAATCATCACAAATTACCACGGCACCTTTAAAACCAAATTTAAAATTGCCAATCTACTTAAAAGTTCATCAAAATCTTCTTTTTCGAACATTACGTCTTCTATTGAAGCATAAATTAAATAGAAAATGTGAACGTCAATTTCTTCATCGTCGACTTCAATTATTAAATCAACAGTGTCATATGGAACTTCGTCAAAATTTATGGCAATCATATCTTACGTTAGGATCTGAAAAGGAGGTGTGGCCAGTAAGTTGAAAGATAGCTTTCTGAAACACTTTTTTTTTTATTTTGTTTTTCAATTCATACAGAATGTAGTAGTGAAAATGGCAAAAACAGATGAACACTTAGTCTGTCAACAATTTGTACAGAAACATCTCAATGAAATGAAAATAAAATATGATCAATTTACCAATGAATTAAGTTTACAAATTCAATCGTGTCCAAGAACATTAATGGAATTACAATCCACTCTTGATCAGCATCTTAAAGAATTTGTTCAAATACAGCAAAAATATATAGCCATAAAAATGCAATTTCAACTGAAACGATATGAAGATATGATTACCGAAATTGAATTATTACAAACTTTGTCAAGTTTTCCTCTTTCAAGTGATCAAGTAATTTGATATTTCTTATTAATCCTTTTTTCCAATTATTTTGTTTTATAGCAAAACAGTATCGACCAACTTGTACATTTACAAGAAAAACAAGTACAATTCTACGAAGATCTTCTTAAATTAGAAGCTCGAGTATCCATTGACTTTTTACCACAAAGTTTTGATGAATTAGAGGACTTTGTTACATTTGATGATTATTTTCCTGTAGTTAAAAATACTGTAGCGATTGAATTTAAACATAATAACTACAAAATTATACAAGAAGCCAAACGGATATGGTTAAAGACATATGGTGATGCCTACGAAAGTGAAATAGAAAAATTCAAACATCAATATGAAGACGAATTACATCAATTTCAATTAGTGAATTCACGTCATAGTGGTTTCTATAGTGCAACAACAACTATAATGAATTCTTTTCTTGATTACATGAATCGTCGAACAAATCGATTAAAAGAAGAAATTGTTTATGAAAAAGTTCCTTTTTATCGAAAACATTTATTACGTGTTCAGCAACGTTTCAAATCAACTAAGAAAATGGTCACTGTAAAGCCGACTGTCATTGTCGACCTCTTGTGTCATCCATTTACAACATCTCAACTTGCATATCTTTCCAGAGGTCAGACTTGTTGATTTCTTTTTTATAAATTGACTCATATTCATACACACTTGTTTTCTTTTTCTAGGACCTTCTTATATACGACCAAATCCAAGTGTATTTTTTCCAGAAAAAACATCTAAAAAACGTATTGACCGAGAACTCAAAGATACAATGAAAAAACTTAAGCAATGTATGTCTGATGATCATGATCGATCAAAAATACCACTCAACTCACCCTTATATAAATCCTACACTGATCAACTTCAAGCGTGTTTAAATCAAGCTTATATGACTCCTATACCATTGATCGATCAAATACGTTCTCTACGTGAATTAAAGATGGTTCAATCCATTCGAAAAAAATTAAAAAAATTTAAACTTATATTACGTGAAACAGATAAAAGTGGTGTACTTCATATTGGTTCTGCTGCTGATTATGAAAGAAAAGCACTTGAATATCGACGAACAACGGGTGCTTACCAATTATTAACGTCGAATCCATTCAATGATATCATCTGTACGGTAACACGTTTATTGAATCGATTACAATCCTCGAAACGAATACTTGAACGACATCGAGTGAAAATGATGCCTAATCGGAAGAAAACCGAATTAGCTTATATGTATTTTATTCCTAAACCACATAAGGTAATACCATCTTAGACATCGTATTCGAAGTTCATTGTTGAATACTTATTAATATTTTTCTAGAAACGTACACCACTTCGACCAATATTGAATACAATACACGCTGCAACCAAACCAATTTCTCAATTCTTAGATCGTCTAATTCGACCTTTATTTGATCGATTTGTACGCCAAACAACTATTGTTGATGGTGCTGATCTACTTGATCGATTTCAACATTATACTGAAAAAGGTTATTTAAAATCATCGACTCTTTTTATTACATTCGATATTAACAATCTTTATACTATGTTACCACAAGAAGAATCTTTAAATATACTTGCTGAATTTCTTCGTCTACATAACTGTGAAAAAGTGAATGGTCTTTCCATTGATACAATTATCGAATTAGCTCGTGTGGTGCTTCAAGCAAATGCTTTTGTTTATAACAAAAAATTTTATCGGCAAATTATTGGTGGTGCTATGGGTTCGGCATTTACTTTAACCTTAGCAAATATATTCATGTGGAAATGGGAAAGACAAACTATTTTACCAAAGCTAGCTTCACATGAAGTATATGGCCGGTATGTATTCTTTGTAATATCCCTAGAAATTCAATTACAGTTGTATTTTTTTTCGTCATAGATATATTGATGATGTTTTCTTCACATCTAATGAATCGGAAGACAAGGTGAAACAAATACTAGATGCAGCGAATAATTTTCATCCAAATATTAAATTAGAATATAAGATTGGTAAAAGTCTACCGTTTCTTGATGTTCTTGTTCAAAACAACAATGGTATTTTGGTATCATCGCTCTATCATAAACCTTCGGCTCAACCAACTGTGGTATCATTTTTATCAGATCATCCACGACATGTCTTCCGAAATGTCATTCAAACGGCTCTCACTCGAGCTGTACGCTATTCATCAACATTTGAAATATTTAATAATGAACGACGTGTCATACGTTTAATGTTCTTATACAATGGGTATGCCATCGATTTTGCTTTGATCTACAATGTCACTAAGAGATCACCAATTTTTATTTTGTAGATATCCATCCAATTATATTAACCAACAATTTGAAAAATTCTTTGCTGACTATTTAAGTTCAATTTCTCCGCCAATTTTACCTATGATTACGAACGAAAGTCAATTTCTTCCGTTACGTCAAAAATTATCAAATCAGCCAACAGCGAAGCAAACACAACTGGTCACAAGTGCAGCTACCGTACAACTTGCACAGCGTACGCAAAATGATATACAACCAAATCTCAACAATATGGAAGCAACCATTCAACGAAATTATGACAAGTTCAAAAAGAACTTGTTTGTACATATTACACATGAAGCTAGACTTAAATGTTTAGCTCGTGAAATACATATGATACATGATAGTCACTTTAAAAACACTAATAAGGCAGAAATAAGATTAGTTGTTGGTTTTCGGAATAATCCAAATATTGAATTTGAACTTTCACGTAAACGACCAGCGTCATCCTTATTGAAGGATCCATTAGCAAAGAGTAAGAGATAATTTATTATTTTTCTTGCGTTTCTATATCATTTGTTATTTTTGCCTAGAACAAAAAACAAATGGAATCAATCGTGATGGCACGAATATCTAAAGAAAATTCTATAGACATGAAAATGTTTTTTGTTTTGTCATTATTTCTTTTGTAAATTTACTACCTTATATATTCACTGTTTTTTTTGTCTTTCACACTTGTGTTACATTAGAAAAAAAATTCTATATTACACTTTCTTCTCATTTCAGATATTTAACTTTACTCAATTGAATTCAAAGATTACTACAAACGTGTTAATAAAACTCTCAACAAACAACCATGAAAAACAAATACAATCGAAGTCAACAAACTTCCAAGGATCAACATAAGAAAAAGAACAGACGTCAACTTCATATAAAAAAGAAAAATGTCTCTCACCAATTCGGTTTTCATGTAGCAAATATGGTTTCAGATGTATCCATTCAACATGACTTGACATCTGAAGGTTTACCCAACAAAAACAAATGCTATGCTACAGATATGGAAACCAGTTCTGATCCAACCTATTTATTACCGGATTATTCAAAATTGTCGGATAGTCAATTTACACAAACATTATTAACATCAACATCAACTATTATAAATCAAGATAATCTTATTGAAGTATTGAATCAGAAAGACATATTCATATTTATTCGTCAATTTACACAATTACTCAATACATTAAATTATTCTAAATTACAACATGAACAATGGTGTTACTATTACAATCTTGGCATGACCGAAGGTATTTGGAATGGCCGAGTATCTAAAAAAATGGCTGATGCAAATTCAATGTGTTATACCTATGGTCGATCCAAACATTTAATTAAACAACGTCTTGATAAACATAAACTACAATTTGAAAAAGCTCAACAGGCTCTTGATGAGCATATGAAAAATGCACCATCCATTATGGATATGGACAATCTTATTAATATGATCCATAATTTCATCGAAAAAGATCAATATCAATTACGACTTGAGCTTGACAGACGAAGGAAAATGCTTCGGCTAGATGCTGAAGAACATCGACTCATTGAAAACTTTTATGCACTAAAGCCAAGACAAACGGAAGTAAGCGCACTGATATTTTTTTCAATTCACAAAAAAAAACCTCCAAATTCTAGATAAAATCAGCAAAGATTATATGGAAAGCTATGCATGAACAACAAAACATAATCGATGAAATTGCTATATTTAAGAAATGGCTTGAAGTTCACGCACAAGCATCATCATATACACTTCAAGATGTTCAACTACCAAAAATAAATCATATCTTCATATCACTATGCTTTCAAGGTCCAACATCATCTGCCGAACATGTCGCTGAACAAACAATAGCTAAAGCCGAGCAAATGGGACAATACTACAGCAAAATAATAAACAATGAAAAAAATAAGCTACAATCGACTATATCTTATCATAAAAATATTCAGCAACTCGATGAAATCATCAACATCATCAGCCAACGTGAATACAATATGAAACAACGTCGTGATTATGAACTACTAGTAAAAATCGCAAACATATTCAACCAAACTACTCTGACACAGACGGATATACAACTCAATATGCAAAGTAACTCAACTCCATAAAAATCCTGTTGTATACATAGTAGAATATACTACCGTATATACATGTATACCTATATTATATATATTAAAAATAAAATATACTAAATTGTCTTTTTCTTTTTGAAACTATTATGATAAGTGTTACTCTATGTAAAATAAATTTGTTTTTTTGTGTTAGATGAATTGATCATCTGTAACATGAAGAATCTCATTGTCTTCTTTTTTTTTTGTTTCAGATTAATTATCTATATTTTTGATATTAAAGTCAAGAATAGATACTTTCATTTATCTTAAATGGCTTATCCAATCAATGACACAACTGAAACAACTAGCATCTTATCAGTCTCATCTGATGACGAATTAGAAAGAGGAAGTCATTATTTGACAACGGAATTTCCATACAAGGACAATAGTATCAATGAAAATGATTGGTCTTCATCGGATGATAGTGATAATGATAGTGATGACAAAGAAATAACTTACCATCATAAAGAAACATCAAGTGACACAAATATTAATTGGAGCGATGGTTCTTATCTCACTGATGATGTGCGTTTACAATCTATGACTCGATTCGAACGTCGACAAGCATGTTATTACCAAGAGAAACTTCAACAAATTCGACAACAATTAAGAGATGAAAATCTTATTTTACGACCAATTTATAAAGATATTGGATATCATGCAGAGTCAGTAGATATTTTTTATAAGAAAGTCAATCAATTCATGAACCAAACAAGCAGCTATTCATTAATATTTAAGTTCAGTCGTTCACATCCGACTGCTACACAAAATCATTTAGCTAAGATTGTTGCACGAGTTGAAACAATATTAAACAATTTATTAGGTTCTAAATCTATTACTGAAGCACAATATATGGCTTTCAAGATCGATCGATCTACAGTACGAATGAATTATTTAAACTTCGTCTCAGACACACATAAAGTATATATATATCTTCTTCATTAATTTATATCCTATATTTTATCTTGTCCTATTACTATATATAGAATGGAATTCCAGTTCAACCAATCATCGTATGCAATAATGGACCAACTATCGGTATTAGTCGTTATCTTGGTCGTCTCCTTGGATTACTGTTTAATGATGCAACTCATTGTAAAAAATTTCATAAAGCTTATAATGTTATACATGACATGGAATTCTATCAGAAAAGTGGTCATCTACTACCAACCACTCTATTTGCTTCATTTAATATTAATGATTTATGTTTAAATTTTTCACATCGACAAGTTATGGATGCTTTAGAACAGTTCCTTAACTCTTACATCTTATCAGATCATTCTATTCAAGGCATGACAATTAGTACAATTCTTCAACTTGTTCGTCTCGTACTCGATGAACAATATTTTATTTATAATTATAAATTATATCGACAAACAGCTGGTAGTGCTTCTGGTTCATCATTAACAATTCCATTAGTCTATATCTATTTATTTTATTGGCAACAAAATATATTACAAGATCTTCTTAATAAGAATGAACTCTTTTTCAGGTATTTGTTCTATTGATTATTTATATAAATCTATTCTATATATGTCTTCGCCAATATAGATATCGAGATGAAGCATTTATTACATGGAACCGCTCTGAAGATGAACTTCGTATATTACTTACTTTGGCTAATTCACAATTTTCACAACCTATATGGAACATAACTGATATTGGACCAACTATTCATTTTCGTGATATTCTGATAACTAACCATAATGGACTTCTTCGAACAAGTGTTTATCATGAAGAAACATTCAAACGGATTATCTACCAATCATCATTTCGGGATATTCTTCAACCTGCAATCAAACAAGACATATGGAAATGGCTACGAGCATTTTTCTTAAAAGCCATCCGATATTGTTCCGATCATGTTATTTTTAATGAAGAAAGGTATGAAATGAAGTGGCAACTTAACAAACATCAACTATCGGATATTATCTTCAATGAAGCCTATCAAGAAATTCTACACGATTTTGGTGCAACGGCTGTCTACCCACCATACACTAGATCTAATTACGAAATCCTACGTGACCATGTTTTCAACTATGACAGATATCGAAAAGCAAAGAAAAACGAAAAACAAAGACAACAGAACGAAGAAATCGAAATACAATTCCAACTTCCTTGTATACCAAACTTGGATGGCAGTACAATAGAGAAAATCGAACAACAACTCAATACAGACTTCAATCAATATTTAAAAGATCACGGAACAACACAAAATGTTTCCTTGACCGTTGGGCAAAATCAATCCTTCTTCGACAAAACCATTGACTATCTAGTGAAGAAACAGCCACCGACAAGTTATTTAACTTTGCCGGAGGAACCCAAAATATACACAAAGTATGCCTTCAACCAATAACTAACTCCTTATTAAACATATTGTTTTCTATTCCATAGGCCATCCACCGACAAAAACCCTCTTCAGGAACTGATCAAAAAGCTGCTACCACAGAAATAACATTTCTAACTATTTCGTTGTACACTGTTATTTTCATATATTAAATAAATCTCCATTACTGTTTACTAAACCCATTTGAAATAAACTACTATATCCATTTATAACTTTTCAGATTAAAACAAAAAATAAAACCAAACCGGAATTATCCTGCCAAAATGACAACAACTAAACAAATCCAAAATTCATCGCACCACAAAAACAACACTATACGAATATCAACACTCTCCATCCAACAAATGCTGCCGAAAAAAAAACCATGCACAACATCCGTTCAATCAAACTCCAACAATCATGGACTAAAGCCGCATCACAAACAAATCTCCAGAAAAAAATTCCCCAACAAAAAAGCATCCATTGAGAGTTCAAACTACACAGTTAGTACAAAAAACATGTCAAATTCGACTAACCTCAACGAAACGCACCTCGACAACATGGAGTTTAGACAAACATTCGAAATAATCTATACATAGGTTATCGTGGTAACTTATACACACACACCCTCGAAATCCGGATCGTGTGATGCCCTGAATTTCAATTCTTTATTTTAAAATTATTGAGTTTCTGTAAATTTCTACACTTCGTCAAAAACTGCTTTCATACGACAGTATAGAAGATGTTTTAATTGATTCTTATTGTAATCGATTAAGATATCTTAAGCCACCTGAGGAGACTCTTGGGCAAAGTCGAAACCGGTCGTGGTATGCTCAACTAAATTTGATAATAGTGTATTATGATTATTATTAGCTTGAAAGTTTTTCTTATAAGTTTTCCACTATAATACTTCATAGTAGGAGAGTAATTATTCTAACCATTTTCAAATCTCAAGGAATCGATAAGTTTAAATTCAGCACCCACCGAAACGCACCTTGCTAGCTTTTGATTGATTTTTCCTAAAATCATATCTATTATCACACCCCATACCCACACCCACAGCCGTAACCCTGGAAATTTTCAATTATTAATTCCAGACATGACCGTTAACGGTCAAAGTTCAAATTTTTAGTTCGAGATATAACCCTGGAAATGTTAAATTTTTAAGTACAGACATAATCGTTAACGGTCAAAGTTCAACTTTTTAGTTCTACACATAACCCTTGAAATTTTAAATTATTAATTTCAAACATAACCGTTATCGGACAAAGTTCAAATTTTTAGTTCGAGATATAACCCTGGATATTATAATTATTAATTCCAGACATGACCGTTAACGGTCAAAGTTCAAATTTTTAGTTCGAGATATAACCCTGGATATTATAATTATTATTTCCAGACATGAGCGCTATCGGTCAAAGTTCAAATTTTTAGTTTGAGATATAACCATGGATATGATAAATTATTAATTCCAGATATAACCGTTGAAAGTTCATAGGTCAAAATATATGAGAATCAACATCGTTAAAAAAAAATTTGAAAGTTGAAAGAGCCATTAAATGTTCGAAAGGTCTAACTAATATGAAACTTTAACACTAGAAATTCCAGGTTGAATCTTACCAGACATAACCGTTACAAGTTGAAAGGTCAAATTATTTTCGACTGAAACTATTAGAAATTGTAATTTCATGTCTAAAACGAAACCGTTGAAAGTTGAAAGATCAAAATATATATCGAAAATGAGAATCGTTAGAAAATAAATTTGAAAGTGGAAAAAACCATAAAAAGTTCAAAAGGTCAGTGTATTATTAGGTTAGTTGTCGTCTGTCGTAATATGCCGTGATCTGTCGTAGTATGCCGTGATCTGTCGTAGTATACCGTGATCTGTCGTAGTATGCCGTGGTCTGTCGTAGTATGCCATAGTCTGTCGTAATATGCCGTGGTCTGTCTTTTTTTCGTAATATGCCGTGGTCTGTCGTAGTATGCCGTGATCTGTCGTAATATGACGTGGTCTGTCGTAATGTGCCGTGCTCTGTCTTTTTTTCGTACTATGCCGTGGTCTGTCGTAATGTGCCGTGCTCTGTCTTTTTTTCATACTATGCCGTGGTCTGTCTTTTTTTTCATACTATGCCGTGGTCTGTCTTTTTTTCATACTATGCCGTGGTCTGTCTTTTTTTCGTACTATGCCGTGGTCTGTCTTTTTTTTCGTACTATGCCGTGGTCTGTCTTTTTTTCATACTATGCCGTGGTCTGTCGTAATGTGCCGTGGTCTGTCTTTTTTTCACAATATGCCATGGTCTGTCTTTTTTTCGTAATATGCCGTGGTCTGCCGTGTCTTGGCCTATATATATAGGCTTGCTCTTCTTGTAATCAATTCATTTCGTCGATAAACACAACAGCAAGAAGGTCGATTCTTCTACTGTCATCTCTACTGACAACTACAACAATAACAACAGCATTCAGTATCAACCATCTTATTCAGGTCTGTTGATATTTTAGTTACGGTTTTCCCTCAGCTTTTTCTCCCTACAATTCGAAATCATCTTTCAACAATTTCAAATCAATTTGAGGTGGATAAACATTCAAGAAATCATTGTAAAACAAGGCATATAAAAATAACTTTCGAATTTTACGAGCTTCTCAGACACCAGTTTTTTTTTCTTTAATTCTTTGTCATCATTAGCATCGATATTTGTGTCGATGTGCTATAAGGAGAGTATCACCAGTGTGGTAGACGTCTCTCCACCCATTAAGATGATCTCCGGTCATCTTAGTGCTATATGATGACTTGTCTTCTGTCCGGTTTTTCTCTGGGGATTAAGATTCGCGTTAAAACAGATCCATGTGGATCGTCATATAAATTACGATAGTTGTGCGTAAGGTCACTGTGGCTGTCTGAAGTGGCTATCCCACCAGTCAGAGCAGGATCAAGGGCTTATTAAATCCAATGTTTAGTGTTTCAGTGGAAAGGAACATGAAAAAAAAAACACAAAAGATTAAGATTGAGCCTAGACGTTTCTCACTTTTTTCATTTTCCTTCACGTGTTTTGTTACTGTTCATTTTATGGTTGTTCTTGTTTGTAATTCAAATCTGTTTCTTTATAAAATTGGTCCACTTGTTGTCTGAAACTTTCGAAGCGTTAGTACCACTTGTATATGCCTTTTTTTTATTGAAAGTTTCTATACCTTTGAAATAATTTTGCTGCTTGTCTGTTAACTCTCAAACAAATCATTTCAATATTAAGGAATATTCAGTTAAAAATTGAAGTTATACGCATGTAGTATCATGATTTCGAACATACTTGAGGACTGTGTGAGTTACAGACGAAAAACATCGTTTGAAATTTGAAATCCCTCTTCCGGAAACCCATCCACACCTACACTTATCATACAGATGACGACGGTTTGAAATAAATCGTGGCATATTATTCTATTTCGAGAAGACCTCTGGAAGGTGAAGTGATCTTCAGTTTTTATGAACAGATTGATATGAATAGTCAACGTCAATTCCGCTACAAAGGGATGCAATCGATCCAGAGATTAGTACTTAGAACTAAGTAAAAATGGCAATGCTTTAAAAAACAATACTTGCATAATCAAGAATCTCTCAAAAAATACTATTTACCAGTATCACTCGCACACAAAATATTGAAGAAAGCGGAAGCTAACATTAGAAGAATATATTTCGACGAGTCGTCCAAACAATAACAATTAACTTGTAAGCACCATAATCCTCATATAGAATTTTTTTTATTTCCACTCCATATGTGTTCGATTATTCTGCATGTCTTCCATGTATAAATATAATTTTTCAATAAACACATGGAGATAC